GGCAGAGTTGGAAGAGTCTTGAGTGCTCAGAAGAAGACAGGAAGATGAGGGAAGCTTTGGAACTTTATAGAGACCAGTTAAATGGTTGTAACCAAAGTGCTGATAGTGTTACAGGCAGTGAAGTCCAGGCTGCCAAGGTCTCAAATGGAAATAAGGAACTTACTGGGAACCAGAGCAAAGGTCACACATGTTATGCCTTAGCAAGGAGCTTGTCGGCATTCTGTCCATACCCAAGGTCTCTGGGGAAGTTTACCTTGAGAATGATGACTTAGGGTATCTGGCAGAGAAAATTTCTAAGCAGCAAAGCGTTCTGAGATGTGGCTTGGCTGCTTCTAACAGCCCATGCTTCAATGTGGGGGCAAAGAAATGACTTAAAGTTGACATTTATATTTAAACAGAAAGCTTGGTGTAAAAGTTTGGAAAAATTTGTGGTCCTAGGCATGTGCCAGAGAAAGAAAAGGCTCTTTGGGGAGGGGAATTCAAGCATGCTGTGAAGCAACCATTTACTAGAGAAACTGGCATAACTAAAAGGGAGCCAAGTGCCATTAGCCAAGCCAGTGCAAAAAAGGCCTTGAAGGCATTTCAGAGACCTTTCTGGCAGCCCTTCTCATCACAGGACCAGAGACCTAGGAAGAAAGAATGGTTTCATGGACAAGGGCCAGGGCTCTACTGCTCTGCACAGCCTGAGGACACTACTCCCTGTACTCTGGCTGCTCTGGCTACAGACTCAGTTCAAAGATATCAGGCCCCAGATACTGCTCATGCCACCACTTTTTTCTTTCTTTTTTTTAAGACAGAGTCTTGCTCTGTCACCCAGGCTGAAGTGCAGCAGTGCAATCTTGGCCTGCTGCAACCTTCACCTCCTGAGTTCAAGCGATTCTCATGCCTAAGCCTCCCAAGTAGCTGGAATTACAGGCATGTGCCACCATGCCCAGCCAATTTTTGTATTTTTGGTAGAGACAGGGTTTTGCTATGTTGGCCAGGCTGGTCTCAAACTCCTGACCTCAAGCGATCCACTTGCCTCAGTCTCCCAAAGTGCTGGGATTACAGGTGTGAGCCACCATGCCTGGCCTCATGCCACCACTCTGAAAAGCACGAGTCAGAGACAAGCCACAGTAAGCCTAGAAGCCTTCCATAGGATGCTAATTAAGCATGTAGACATACAGAGTGCAAGAGTTAGGAGGCCTCCACCTCGATTTCAGAGGATGTATGGAAAAGCCTGGGTGTCCAGGCAGAAGCCTGCTACAGGGGCAGAGCCCCCACAGATAACCTCTACTAGGGCAGAGTGGAAAAGAAATCAGTGATTGCAGCCCCTCTACAGAGTCCCCACTGGGGACTTATGCAGATGTAGGAGCTGGTTTAAAACAGGCAGAATATGCTGAGTCCTACCTCTCACTATTATTGCATTGGGGATTAACTTTGAACATAGGAATTTGGGGCAAATGCACTCAGTCCACAGCACAGGGGAATAATTATTTGATTGACTGGATTTCTCATCAGGAATGGTGGGAACAGAAGACAGGGGGCAACACCTTTAAAGTACTGAGAGAAAAGCACTGTCAACCCAGAAATGTATGTCCAGCAAAATATTCCTTGAGGAATATTTTGGACAAGGGGGCATAAAGAACATTCTCAGATGAAGGAAAACTAAGAGGATTCATTGACAGCAGACTCCCTCTAACATACGTACTTCTGGCTGAAGGGAAATGATTCCAGAAGGCAACTGGGAACACTAACAGAAAATCTACAGACATGTTAAATAGCTGGGTAAATATATATATTTTTTCCTTTTAAAATCTTTAAAATGTGTATGACTGTTGAGCACAAAAATTATGTTTACATATTATGAATTTAAAAATGTATGTAGCTATAATATAGATGATGGCCATCAAATCAGAAAGGGAGGGCACTGGGCCAAGTCTGACGCTGAAGCTGGGAGGCTCCTGGGCGGGCAATTGGGAAAAGAAAATGGGTGTAAGGTGGGGAGAGCAAGGAGAGTCAGACACCCCTTTGGCAGGAAGGAGCCCTAGCTGCGGGCCTGGCTGCTGTCCCATGTGAACAGACCTGCAGATACATGACAATAGTCAGGAGCTGCAACAGTAGTGCCTGGTGTCCCTGTGGCAACCTCCTGAGCATAACAGGGCTGCTGCATTTCTGGTTTCCAAATCTCACAGTGTCTCTCTCCTGTGGCCCACTCTAAAGGAAAATATAGGAGTTCTAGCAATGGATCCTGCTAAGGTTGACAAATTATAAACCCACCACACTCTCGTCCCTTCCTTTCCAGAACCTCAGAGGAGGCCTGGAATTTTGGAAGTTATTGGTGAAAAAAAAAGTCGGAAGAGAACTCAAACCCCAACTATTTTCAGGCAAAGAAAGGGCAACCCGCCGAGGCCATGAATGGCCCACGGTCAATGCCAGTGGTGGAGCTAAGGCAATCTCCAGCTTCCTTTCCAGGTAACCCTATCTCCCCACCCCTGAAGGCCTGTTTCTGTAGCAGCATGGCCAGCTTGGCATTCTGTCTTGATTGGGTACCTACTGTGACAATTACAAGCAAGGGTTTTAGGTAACAAGAACCGAGTCAGGAACTGCAGCTCTGCTAGTTCTTAGCTGTATCATCCTCAGCAAACCGTTTCACTGATGTAACCCTGTTTTAAAATCTGTGCAATGGGAATGACAGTGTGTACATCATCGGCTTTGTGGGACAACTGAGATGAGGCACAGGGAGAACAGATGCCTTGCAGACAAGCACTCACTCTGTGCACCATGGGTTCCTTGAACTCAGAGCGCGGGCACTGCATTTTCTTGCTTAGGGAGCAGCTATTCTGGCATCTCGTTGCTGGGGGCAGGAGAACATCTCAAGACTGATGGCCTGAGACCTCATTGGCCACACTGTTTCATCATGCCAGCTATTCCTAGACTTGAGGAGCCTTCTGCCTTCCAATGGTGTCAGGAGTCACCTGAGCTGTTTGATTTTCCTTCTCTTGGACCTGCTCTGCTGCCCTTGGAAACCTCCCTTCTGAACACCTCGTCCAGGGCACCCGGAAATGAGGTGCTGAAGAAGGAACACATGACCCTTCTGGGCTCCTGGGGCTTCTCTTTCCTCCTGATCTTCAAAGAGCCAGGCTCCCATGCTGGCTGCTCAATGGAATGACCTGGGAGTGAATGTTTTTTAAACCTGTGTTAAAAAAAAAAAAAAAAAAAAAAAAAAAGTAATTGCAATCAGATGAGAAAAAAAATTTTTTTGGTGGGGATGGAGTCTCACTTCATGCCCAGGCTGGAGTGCAGTGGAGCAATCTCTGGTCACTGTAACCTCTGCCTCCAGGGTTCAAGCGATTCTCCTGTCTCAGCCTCCCTACAGGCACCTGCCACCATATCCAGCTAATTTTTGCATTTTTTGTAGAGGTGGGGTTTCACCTTGTTGGTCAGGATGGTCTCCAACTCCTGACCTCAGGTGATCCATGCACCTCGGCCTCCCAAAGTGCTGGGATTACAGGTGTGAGCCACCATGCCTGACCTAAAAATTGAAAGAAAAAAAAAAAAAAAAAAAGGTTAAAAAACCAAGGGCTTGGTCTGGCACAATGGCTCGTGTCTGTGATCTCAGTACTTTGGGAGGCCAAGGCAGGTGGATCACCCGACGTCAGGAGTTTGAGACCAGCGTGGCCAACATGGCAAAACCCTACCTCTACCAAAAATACAAAAATTAGCTGGGTGTGGTGGTGGGCGCCTGCGCTCCCAGCTACTTGGGAGGCTGAGGCAGGAGAATTGCTTGAACCCAGGAGGCGCAGGTTATAGTGAGCCAAGACTGTGCCACTGCACTCCAGCCTGGGTGAGAAAGCAAAACTCCATCTCACAAAAAATAAAACAACAAAACCCACAAAAATACCAAGGGCTGCATCCCAAAACCACTAAATCAGCAATGCCAGGATGGACCTGGGCAATCAGACTTTTTCAAAAGCTCCCCAGGCGAGCCCACTGTGCATCCCTGAGGTTGAAGACTCCCAAGCTGACAATTCTGTGGTGATGCTGCTTGCAAACAAAGGCGACCGTGTCTGCTGAGCTGACAGGACAGCAGCACAGAATTCCTCCACCCACGGTTCCAAACACCCCGACTACAAGTGCCATCTTTGCCACCTGACTTGGCAAACTCCTTCTGTACAGGACACGGTGACGATAACTCAGGTCTTCTGAGTCACAGAGGGATCCCTTGTGTACAGAAACAGGCTTTGTGGTGCTGTACAACACTATCAATTCTATTTAAGCTGAGGCTAAATTTTAGTTTCCTCCCTGAATTATTTATTCATTAAACAATGAATGGTGAAACCCAGGAAGTGCGCTTGGTGGATGTATCACGAGAGAGACGTCTGGTGACTTCAAAAACCATTGTGAAGTCTGCTGCAGTAACAAATTCCACAAATGACCACCATGCAGCACTCATTTCTCGCCTGGTCATTTGGCAAATTTATTATTTCCCATAACTCCCAAACACACCATTTCACCCTCCCTGGTCATGTGTGTATGCATACTGAACGAGCCAAGCAGGCCAAGTGGGCTGCGTGCACACGCTTCTGGGTAAAGAATGAGACGCAGAGGCTGAGATCAAGTGCCTTTTAACAGGCACAAGTGTGGGGAAGCTGACTACATTTCCTGAAGTTATTGCTTTTATAAAGTGTGTTCCACTCTATAACCATCAGCAATTACCCCTGACCAGGGCAATTATACCCTGCCCCTCCACCAGTGCCTCTGGGAGCTCCTTTCATGGTCATTGTTCATTTCTTCTCCTATTTCACCTCCTTCCCAATTCCAGCCTAATGGTGAGCACGTATTTCTGTTGGACCAAACTTCAGTCTGTACCTGACACCACAGCTGCCTCAATGCACCTCCAAAAGGAGCTGGGGAGGAGGAGGGCCAGGCTGGATACTAAAACTTTTTATATCTGAATTACACAAATCCCCAAGTAATTTCACCATAAAGCAAACCAAATGGCAGACTAAATGAATTACGTTAGTACCTTGGAGTTTACTTCAGTAATACCTAACTTCTAATCCATGTCCGTCTTCTTGTTTCTGCTTTTAATTCTGCCATTTCCTCTTAAAATTTAGGGTTTAACAAAGACGACAAGGCTACTGTTGGCCAAATGCCAGCTATGAATTCACAGCATAGAAAGAGTCAAAGCCATAGCAACAAATTGCTAATCTGCACAACGTTAAAAAATAGTTCGGTACATTTTTGTTATAAAATTCATTTACAGGAGGTTATTCACATGTACTTGTCAAATTTACTCCTGATAATTCACAAAAACATAACAATCAACAAAGTGCACGATAAATCCAAGGCAAATTATATACAACGAAAACAAGTTTTTAAGTAGCATATATTCATGTTGAAATAAAGAATACTGAAAGAAGAAAGGGCACTTTCTTCTAGTGCCATGGCAAAGACGAAGGAAGGTGCCAAGAGCCACACTTTGCACCTTGTGAAAAGAATAACACTGTTCAACAATGCTGTGCTGACAGCCATATCGAGAGGGACCACAGTAAACATACGAGATAATTTCGGTAAATACTTGTACCAACTGGAACAAGTGAAGTTTCAAAAGTAATGTCAGGTACAACTGCATTCCTCTGTGAGAGGCCATCACAGGACACAGGCTCATTTTTTCAAAGGATGAAGTCGTTCTACTAATCCTTGCATAATCAGATGCGGTGAGTAGGGAACCAACAAGTGAGCACAACATAAGAACAGGCATAAAACATAATCGAAAATAGAATTGTTCAGTGTGTGGCAGCAAAATATGCATTTTAGAAAAAACTTATTTCTCAAATCACATGTTAATAATATTAGCATGAGCAGTGTGGAGACATCCTGAGCCAGGCCTCCCTTCAGAAGCTTAGGAATTTGCGCATTCCCTAAGTGGTCACCACAAGTGTTCTGCTAAAATGGGCACTTCACCAAGATAACAGAAAAATAAAGTAACAATGAGATTTCTTCCCAAAGGCACATGGAAGAGGCTGATAGAGCCCCAGACCCAGACAGAGTGGGGCTATCCCTACCCGTCCTGAACTTTCGCACACTGCATGGCCAAAGACAAACTCCCCACCACCAAACAGGAAGCAGAGGCTGACTGTGGGGACTCTAAGCAGTCACCTGCTCCCTGGGTTTCAGAAGTGTTCAGTTGACATTAGTCAGATGTCCGGACACCAGCAAGAGGGACACAGGTAATGAAATAGAATGTTCAAACTTTTGATAACAAAAAGCTCTTTATAATCTGCTCGAGTAGAATTTCTAACACAAAATCCTTTTTGCTTAAAAAGCAGATGATAAGGAAAATGTCAAATAGTGCACATGAATCTTCGGCTATTTTTGCCTACCCCCAAATGAGGTAAGGGGTTGCAGAGCGTTCACTGCAGACCCCTAGTTAGTACAACTATCAACTATACAGTCTCATGTTTAGGATACTCCTAATTCAGTGTGGATATTTAGAAAATTGGACAAAATCAGGCAGTCCCTCACTTGTACCGAGCCTCCTCAATCTCGATTCACCATGACCAATCCCCCTCCCCACCACCACCAAAAGCACTAGTAACTCTAATAGTAGCTGAAAACACCCATCAGATACTCTAAACAGCATGTATTTTCACCAGGTAGATGATTTCTTAAGATCACAGGAAGCCGCCAACTCTCCTCCCAGTTCAGAACTCCTTTTTGTTACCCTTCATTTTAAACTGGGAGCTTCTTTCCCACCTGAAATATTCTAGTTGGCCTGCCCCAGCGGTTCCCAAGCTGCCTGGTGACCAGAATCCCTTGGAAATGTTGCACACACAGCTCCCCAGGATTTCTGGGAAACTACTTCTATCTGTCTGACAATCTGCAAGCTGAGGAGATTCTTCCACAGCTGACCCAGCGTTCATCTACCATTTGGCAACCATGTCTGTACCTCACCAGCCACACAAAGCTCACAATATGCTAGGAGCATTTGAATGACAGTTCAGGAATTATTCTTTCATTCCATATTCTTCTCTTTCAAGATTAAGAGTTTCAGCTAGGGAACTATGTGCATACTAGAACAGGTAAAGGAACTCATCACAGAAACAGAATAACCTGGGGCCAACGTACTGCATCTAAAAATGCACCATGTCAGCAGGACTTTACCTAACATAACTGTGCTGCCCAGTGTCCCCCAGCAGACGCCAGTGTTGTTGTTGTTCTTGTTGGAAACAGAACTAGAGACTTCTGACCCACCAGCGCTAACTCAGCTTATTCCAAACTAGGCTGTCAAATACACCTGTCTTGCCGTAACAATGGCTGAAAGGACCTGCCCTCCTCCCATCTTTTTAATATAAAGTTTGTTCTGTTGAAAAATGTCTAACATTTTAAACAGGGGAAAGGAAAGCGGTCTACTAGATTAAATTTTAAAAGAACTTTGTTATTTGCTATACAAATATACATTTCAACCTTTACAACATTCACTCCAGGCTGACCTCCTTGTCTACAGAAGAGTAAGAGATCAACATTTCCAGTCTGACTTCAAGGACATTATTACTGATACACAATGCCCTCTGAAAGCTTTTGCAAATGACAGGAAGTACTGAAGATGACCAGAGGCTCTGGTGATAAGGATACATTCTCCATGTTTTCCAACAACACAAACTCCTTAAGAAAAACAAATGAGCTTATCTAGATGGCCTCCCTCTGGTCATCTTCAGTTGACAGTACACTGTGGCTGCTAGTCCATGTCATCTGGCTGTCCTATAAAAGCTTTCTTTTCTTGGAACTGCTTTCCTCCTTCTCCGGACTCCTCCTGTCCCAGCGAGAGTTCCTCTTGGTATAACGGGTCTCAGAACCACAGTTCTCCTGCTCCCCTTCACCGAGAGCCCTAGCGTCTCTCCTGTGACAGAGCTCCCCTTCCGGGTCATCACATTTGCTCTGACACGTGGAAGCCTCGGTGCTGGCAGCTGGAGGTTCACCCTGCACAGGAGGTCTGAGGCTGCTCAGAGCAGCCACTAGAGCAGAGGGCTGTAGTACGTTACCCAGGTCCTGGTGAACGCCAGGGAAGCCCGGCTCTCCTGCAGGGGGTGTTACTCCAGGATGCTGGGGGCTCGAAGGTTGTGGATCCCACAGGAATATTCCTCCTTTGACCTCAATGCCCATCCTCTTCAGCAGTCGTGGGTCCCGAAGTTGGTCTTGAACAGGACTTTCAGGGTCCTTTGAATTAACAGTGAGAGGAGCTTCCTTGGAGTCAGAGGGTGTGTGGTATAGAGAGGCAGCAAAAGATGTCTTAGCAAATCCACTGTCTAGCTTGGGGCTGGGTAAGCCACCCTGGGGCCTGGACACCTCTGGGGCTATGGCAGGAGGGTGAGTGAGACTTCTCTGTAGCACAGGCTTGAGTTTCAGAATCTTCGTTACATCTTGTCTATAGTTTTTGTCACAGGTCTTAATAATGGCACCACGCTTCTGAGCATCCTGAATCAGCTGATTCCAATGCTGGTTTTCCTTGAAACAATGAGAAGGGAGAAATAATTACACCCCAAAGAAACATTGCTTGGGAGGCATAGAGTTTCAGCTTTCATTTCTGAACAAATAATATATATTATTGTATGAACAGATTCTCAAGCTCCATTACTTGTCAGACAAGATCAAAGGAAAAAATAAATTTGATTACAAAACTATAAAGTCTCATTTCTTAAAAAAAAAAAAAAGACCTGATCACAGCCTGTAAGCAAGAACCTCAACCATTTTCATGAGTGCAGTCAACTGCAATGCAGGTCTGTACTGGCCACTAAGAGTGTCATGTCAGTATTTACATTTCAATTAATTATAATGAAACAAAATTAAAAATTCAGCTCCTGAATTACATCAGCCACATTTCAAGTACACAGCAGTCACACATGACTAATGGCTACTGTACCGAGCAGTGCAGACACAAAACATTTCCATTATCACAGAACCATCCCTTGGATACTGGTGATCTAGAGCACTGCCTACACCTCTTGGCAGGGCTAACATTCTTAAAAACAAGAAGGGCTGGTTTCAAAAAGCAAACTTCTGAGGGCACGTGACTGTTCTAGAAAAAGGCCCACAGCTTTCGCTGCATTTCCAAAGGCCTCCCAAACCCCAAATGGCTAAAACATCTTAATCCACTGAGATTTCAAATATATTATCCCACTTTCTACCTGTTTTCTAGAGGAGCTTAAGACATAAAATCACATCTCGGAAAAGTTGCCAAACACATGCTTTCTCCTCTCTTCCCTACAGTTTCTTTAATGGGAGACTGCTGCTTTACAACCAATATAACTTGGGTCTCTTTAGAAAGAAGAAAGAGAAGAGAAGAAGAAAAAGGAGAGCTACCCTCTCACGGGGGCTCCTGTACTATTCATAAAGGTAAGTTAGGGAAGCAATGGGGCTACACAGTATTTACTTGCTGTGCGACCTTGGTCACGTCATTTACCTCTCTGAGCCTGTTTCCTCATCTGTAAAATAGGAGTAGTATTTGATTTAATGGATTCTAAAGTGCATATTGCTTTCACATTTTACCATTTCTGAGCTTGGGGAGCCTCTTGGCCACGTACCTATCCTTGGGGATTTCATGATAAGGCAATTATAATCCTTTGACTTTTAGTCAATAAGCCATTTAAAGATCTTGCCTAAAAACCTTCTACAGACATTTTCTGATAAGACAAGAAAACACCAGCATTAAAACTTATGCACTGGGTGGGCACAGTGGCTCATGCCTGAAATCCTAACACTTTGGGAGGCTGAGGTGGGCGGATCACCTGAGGTCAGGAGTTCGAGACCAAGTCTGGGCAACATGGTGAAACCCCGTCTCTACTAAAAATACAAAAATTAGCTGGGTGTGGTGGCACACACCTGTAATCCCAGCTACTTGAGAGGCTGAGGCATGAGAAAGGCTTGAACCCAGGAGGCGGAGGTTGCAGTGAGCTGAGATTGCACTACTGCACTCTAAGACTGTCTCAGAAAAAGAAAAAAAAAACAACCCAAAAAACCTTATACACTGGAGATCAAGGGTTCTAAGAAAACCCTGGAAGCAATGGTGAAACTCTTAGCAAATGCTAAATTGTTAACCTCATTGCTGCACCAGGGATGAATGACAACACTGATGACTATGGATTGGGAAATGATTAATTAGTGCTAGATTCTCAAAGTGGAATATTTTTAGGAATATCTTAACCTATTATTTTACTTGTATTTTCTCTTTTATGTATACATAAGAATATGACAAAAATCTGTCTAAAACCTTAAAAGAGTACTTTAAATGAAGTTCTAAGTCAAAATAAAGTTTATAATCTAATAGTAATATATAAAATAGTGATACATATTACAATTAATGGTTTCTTGAATTTGATAAACTATGGTAATAAGCTGACTTCACAGGGTTTTTTCAAGTTTGGAGAAAGTCATGTGACTAGAAGAAAACTGGCATATTCCAGACAGGTCTGTGGAGGCAGCACCAGGCTTTGTGGCTCAGTTACCTTTCTCACTCAGATTTCTAGAGATTCTTAGCCTGTGGCTCAAACACATATGTGAAGCAGATGGCCTTGCTATTTCTGCTAAGTTTACTACACCTAAACTTGGTGTTTAATCCATTCCTAAGATTACAAAAACAGTTCTGAGCAGGCACTATTAGCCTTGGTTTCTTAGAGGAAACCAAATGCTTTAATGATGATCCCACTTCCATAAGAGAAACTAGGCTAAAGAATTAAAAACAAGCAAAACCCCAAAACAATAAAGAAAAAGCCCAAGGACAAAAAAAGTTAGGGAGCCCAGCTGACAAATTGGGCATGTTTAGATTCAGGTCTGTCCATCTCTTTTTGTAGCACTGCCTTCCTAGAGTGAAGACTATGTTGGTGCCATTAGCTGGAGGTTAGTGTCCTGTACAGTTGTGAAGTGTGACCTGGGGGCTCCCAAACACTGTCTAAAGGGAATGTGAGAAGGGTTACGGAATAAGCTTCCAAACCCCAGACCTTGGACTGCCCTGCCCCCTGCATCCCATCCTTACAATCACGAGGAGCCTCATCCACACACAGAGTGCACTGCCAAGACACATAAGAACTCTCAGATGCCACGTAAAGGGAGGATTAAAAGGAGTAGTGCCATGAAGGCTCCTTTAATCGAGGCATTAGTAAAAGATGTATCTCTTAATAACATTTCACTTACTTTTCGGGTTTAAACATTATCAAAATCTATGATATTTAATAAATATATTTGTATTAAATATTTGTAATATTTAATAAATATATTTGTAGTGTTAACAGGCTATTCAACTGACAAGAGATATGTTTTAACACTAAGATCCTTATGGCTTCATAAAAGGATCTTTTAAAATCCAAAACTATATATTTTGAGCTAACTATAAATTTACAGGAAGTTGCAAAGGAAGTACTGAGAGGTTGCATGCACCTTTCACATGGGTTCTCCAGATAGTTATAAAAAACAGCTTTTTAGGCTGAGGTGGGATTACTTGAGCCCAGGAGTTTGAAACCAGCTGGACACCATGGTAAGACTCTGTCTCTACTAAAAGTACAAAAATTAGCTGAGTGTGGTGGTACATAAGCCTGTAGTCTCAGCTACTCAGGAGGCTGAGATGAGAGAACAGCTTAAACCCAGGAGGCAGAGGCTGCAGTGAACTAGGATTGTGCCACTGCACTCCAGCCAAGGTGATAGAGCAAGACCCTGCCTCAAAAAAAAAAAAAAAAAAAAAAAAAAAAGGAAAGCAACTTTTTAAACTTTGAAATTACACAAAGATTTTCGTGAGAGGTGTAATCAGTGAGATTAACAAAAAGGTAAAAAGAGATTACCTCAGTGAATTTTATCCTAAACAAGTAGGAATGGAAGTACAATTTAAGGAGAGGAAAAAATAAAATAATATCGCTATCTTTCTATTCCACTGGATATATTTAAGAGTGATATAATTAGTTTTAATTGTTGTATTTTCAAATGTCAATACTGATAATACAGCAGAAACACAATCTTCAGTAATATTTAAACTTCTAAAGATATTTTATATCAACTTAAAAATAAGAGGTACATAAAAATAAGCAGTACACAGCTTTTAAAACTTCCTCCAGAATGGGCACCTTTTACAACTTCCTCTAGAGTGGGCACACAAACGACAAAGGCTAGAGGGGAGAGAGCCACAGAAGAGAGGAGTGACATCAGAAAGGTGTATCTGAGCGCCACCTGGTGGCAAGAACCAAAACCAGGTGAAACAGCCACCAAGTTGGCTCTTCTTAGATGATATCAGTGACTTTATAAAAAAGAGAAATGAGAAAAACGACAAAATTATTACTCCTAATGAGACAAACAGCAAATACATGATACCTCTAGCTGTGATATCAGTGAATTAAGTTGTATCATCTGTCTACTAAAGTTGGAAACTTGTACACCTCTTCCAGAGGTGCACCTTTCTTGGCAGAGGAATGCTGGAGGCACCAAGTGCTCGAGAAACAGTGTGAGCAGCACACCTCCCGGCACCAGCGGAAAAGCAGAGCAGAGCACGTGCCTGCAAAAACTCTGGCATTAAGCTGGGCCAATAACAGCCACATTTACTGAGTGTTTACTAAGTGCCAAGCACTGCTCTGGCACTTTATTTTGTGGGTTTAATATGCCTTCTTAACAATAATCCTACAATGTGGATAATTTGTTTTAAAACGATCACCTTGAGAGCCCAGTGTAGATACTTGGGTTCTGGGCTAAAAAAAGGCGAATAGTTCACATGTACACAAAAGCTCCTGGGAATTTGCTGGAAAACATAACAACCATTATTTTGTAATCCAGAAATCATTTACACTTCGATGGAAAATAACTAAAACTCAATCCAATAACAGTAACAATGGTCAAACTTCTGAGCTTTCTGGTACCTACCATCAGGGTCCTCAAATGTCCAAGGATGAAGAGGCTGTACTTGGCTCGTGTGATGGTGACATTCAACCTCTGCAAACTTGCCAGGAATCTAAGCAACAAAAAAAAGACTTCCTTCTTTGTCTAGAATGACTTAACATGCCCATATGAGACAGAGGTAGGCTCTAGAATAACTTAGCGTGCCCATGTGAGACACTGGTGGACTCTAGAGTGACTTAGCATGCACATATGAGACACAAGTGAACTCTAGAATAGCGTGCCCATGTGAGATACACGTAGACTCTAGAGTGACTTTGAGTGCCTACATGACACAGAGGTGGACTCTAGAATGACTCAGCACTTAGCGTGCCCACGTGAGACGCAGGTGGACTCTAGAGTGACTCAGCGCTCAGCGTGTCCATATGAGACACAGGTGGACTCGAGTGACTTAGTCTTAGTGTACCCGTGTGAGACACAGGTGGACTCAAGTGACTCAGCGCTTAGCGTGCCCCTGTGAGAGACAGGTGGACTCTGGAGTGACTCAGCGCTTAGCGTGCCCATGTGAGATACAGGTGGACTCTAGAGTGACTCAGCACTTGGCGTGCCCACGTGAGACACTGGGGGACTCTAGAGTGACTCAGCGCTTCGCGTGCCCACGTGAGACACAGGTGGACTCTAGAGTGACTCAGCGCTATGTGTGCCCACGTGAGACACAGGTGGACTCTAGAGTGACTCAGCGCTTAGCGTGCCCACATGAGACACAGGTAGACTCTAGAGTGACTCAGTGCTATGCGTGCCCATGTGAGACACAGGTGGACTCAAGAGTGACTTAGCGTGCCCATGTGAGACACTGGTGGACTGCAGACAGCTTTTCCGAGACTCCTCCACTTCTCTAGAAGTCACAGTGCTTTCTTACTCTCTGTCCCAATACAGGGTACTGGGCACAGAAGAATTCCTATTAAAAACAGTAAACAAACCAAAACCTCAGGGCTTCCTTCAAAGTGATGTATCTATCAATTTCCTATTTTTAACCTGGATGAGATACTGAAAATTTTAACAGTGCAATCCTGAAACCTTAAAAATACCCTAAAAATGTGATACCAGCCCAATCACTTTATTCTTGCATTTAAATATATCTAGGTTGTTAAAATATTGTAGAACTAGTGCAGAAATACATAAACACAACACAAATATTTCAACAGATCAGAAAAACAGCTCAGAAATAGAATTGATTTTGATAAAAGTGAAAATTAGCTGGGAAAGAATGGACTGTTTATAAAATGACCCTGATATATAACCAGTCTCTGTATATGCAGCCCATCCCAGGGAGGTTACTTTGATTACTATTTTCTTTGAAAACAACCTAATTTGGCCAGGTGCAGTGGATCACACCTGTAATTCCAGCACTTTGGGGGCCAAGACAGGCAGATCACAAGCGCAAGAGATTGAGACCATCCTGCCAATATGGTGAAACCCCGCATCAACTAAAAAATGTAATAATCAGCTGGGTGTGTTGGTGTATGCCTGTAGTCCCAGCTACTCAGGAGGCTGAGGCAGGAGAATCGCCTGAACCCGGGAGGCGGAGATTGAAGTGAACCCAGATCATGCCACTGGGCACTCCAGCCCAGTGACAGAGTGAGACTCCATCTCAAAAAAAAAAAAAAAAGAAAGAAAACAAACTAATTTATAACCTGTAAATTCTATCTGCTTCTCATGTCAAGGAACAAAGCATCATGTAAGAGTCTCAGGCACAGGGGAATTTGCTGTCACTCATACAGGTATCCTTAGCATCTTAAATAAACTGACAGTAGTTAAGGTTAACAAATTTAGCCAAAGCAGGAAAACACAGAAGAGAAAAAAATGACACTTCATATAACGCATACCATGGAGAGTAACATGCCTCTGCAAAATACACTTAATTATTTACTTGAATCTTATTAATAAAAAATCTTATTAAATAAAAGAACACTAGGAAATGCATTAACATACAAGCCACCATGGGCTTGGTGGCTCAGACGTGTAATCCCAGCATTTTGGGAGGCCAAAGTAGGCGATCACTTGAGCTCAGGAGTTTCAGAACAGCCTGGGCAACATGGCGAAACCCTGTCTCTACAAAAAAATACAAAAATTAGCTGGGTATGGTGGTACATGCCTGTGGTCCCAGCTACTTGGGAGGCTAAGGCAGGAGAATTGCTTGAGCCTGGGAGGTGGAGGTTGCAGTGAGCTGAGATTGCACCAAGATCTAAGAGTGGATTGATTTTACAACTTAAAGAGAAACTTTCATAATATTACACAAGAAATTTACAAAAGAAAATTAAGAAAAAAAATGATGGTGGTTTTCTAACAGTGATAGATAACGAACTGAACCTAATCCTGAATTATAAACAAGCGACAATGTATAAAAGTATAAAAAAGCAACAATGACAGTAACTTACCCAATTGAACCTTGCATGGTATTTGCTCTGACACATGTAACAATCACGCAATCCTTCTGCCGACCCTGGAATGCATCCACAGTATCTACTTCTGCTGGTCTATTCACAAAAGAGAAACATATTTACTGGAAAAAGATAATTATTAAATATACATATTTGTAAACTAGTTTTTTGGTTTTCTGAGAGACAGTCCAGCCTCACTCTTGTCCAAGCTGGAGTGCAGCAGCATATTCACAGCTCATTGTAACCCTGAACCTCTGAGCGCTGTCGAAGCCTCCTAAGTAGCTAGGACTATATGCATGGACCACCACCCTAATTTTTCTATGTTTTGTAAAGATGGGGCCTTGCTATGTTGCTGAGTCCGGCCTCAAGCAATCCTTCTACCTCACCTTCCCAAAATGTTAGGATTACAGATGTGAGCCACCATGTCTGGCCTTACAATTTTTTTTTTTTGGGAGACAGAGTCTCGCTTTGTCACCCAGGCTGGAGTGCAGTGGTGCAATCTCGGCTCACTGCAACCTCTGCCTCCTGGGTTCAAACAATTCTCCTGCCTCAGCCTCCCAGGTAGCTGGGATTACAGTTGTCTGCCACTATGCCCAGCTGATTTTTTGTATTTTTAGTAGAGACAGGGTTTCACCAAGTTGGCCAGGCTGGCCTCAAACTCCTGACCTCATGATTTGCCCTCCTTGGCCTCTCAAAAGTAGTGGGCTTACATGCATGAGCCACTGAGCCCAGCCCTTACAGTCTTATTTTTTAAGGAACTTTAAAAAAAAAGAAAAGAAAAGAAAAGAAAAGAAAAGAAAAATGAAAGAGATGTAGTCTCACTATGCTGCCCAGGCTGGACTCAAACTTCTGGGGCTCAAGTAATCCTCCTTGCCTCAGCCTCCTAAGGAGATGCGCGCACCACCAAGCCTGGCTGTTAAGAAATTTTACAAGTATTTTCTTAGAGTTTAGCCTGAGTCTCCTCCTCTCTCCATTCCCTAGCAACCACTGATCTACTTTGTCTCTACAGATTTTCTTATACTGTGAGTTTCACATAAATGGAACTATAAAATGTGATTTGTGACTGTTTTCCCTTAGCATAAAATTTCTAAAGTTCATCCAGGTAGCATGTAACAGAATTTCATCCCTTTTTTCACTTATATTTCATTGTACCACATAGTACAAGTTATTTACTAAGACTTAGGATTGTTAAGACGGCAGATGTATTATTACAACTGTCTTTTTTACAGAAATGGTCAAGCTGATAATACCAAGTCTTTGGCTGGGTGTGGTAGCTCATGTCTGTAATCTAAGCACTTTGGGAAGACTGTGTGAACTCAAGAGTTTGAGAACAGCCTGGGCAACTTAGCAGAGACCTCATCTCTACTAAAAATGAAAAAACACAAAAAATACAACAAACAAACAACACTAAGTCTTCCAGTCCATGAAAATAGAGTATCTTTACATTTATTTAGGTGTTTGTTTTTTTTTTTTTGAGACAGTGTTTCCCTCATTGCCCAGGCTGGATGGAGTACAATTGGAGCGATCTCGGCTCACTGCAACCTCCGCCTCCCAGGTTCAAGCCATTCTCCTGCCTCAGCCTCTGGAGTAGCTGGGGTTACAGGTGCGTGCCACCTGTATTATTTGTAGAGACAGGATTTTACCATTGGCCAGGCTGATCTTGAACTCCTGACCTCAGGTGATCCATCCACCTTGGCCTCCCAAAGTGCTGGAATTACAGGCATGAGCCACTGCACCTAGCCTATTTAGGTGTTTTGCAGGTTTCAGCATACAAGTCTTACACTTCTTTGGTTCTATTTATTCCTAAGTGTTTTTGATGCTATTGTAAATCAAATTGTTTTAACTTCCTTTTCAAATTGTTCATTGCTCGTTACATCAAAATAATCAACTTTTATACATTACTCTTCTATCCTGCTAAGCTTATTCTCTCTAATAGTGTCTTTGAATGGATTCGTTAGAGTTTCTAGAAATAAGATTATGCCACCTATGAAAGTTACTTTTTTCTTTCCAATAAAGATGCTTTTTATTTCTTTTCCTTGCTTAACTGCTCTGTCTAAAACCTCTAGTACAATGTTGAAAAGTAGTAAGAGTTTCAAACATCTTTACTGATCTTAGAGGAAAAGCTTTCATTCTTACCATCAAGTATAATGTTAGCTATGAGTTTTTCATAAATGCCTTTTATTAATTTTAAAAAAAAAGTTCCTTTGTATTTCTAGTTTGATTTTTTTGAGACAGAGTCTCGCTCTGTCACCCAGTCTGGAGTGCAGTGGCATGATCTTGGCTCACTGTTACCTCTGTCTCTCAGGTTCAAGCAGTTTTCCTGCCTCAGTCTCCCAAACAGCTGGGACTACAGGTGCACACCACCACACCCAGCTAATTTTTTTATTTTTAGTTGAGACAGGGTTTCACCATCTTGGCCAGGATGTTCTCAATCTCCTGACCTCGTGATCTGCCACCTGGGCCTCCCAAAGTGCTGGGATTACAGGTGTGCGCCACCGTGCCCGGCCTGATTGATGTTTTTTTATCATCAAAGTGTTTTGGGTTCCGCACATTTTTTTTTTTTAAATATCTATTGAGCTGATTATGTGGGTCCCTCCCCATTCTTCTAATACGGTATATCATATTGGTTTTCATATGTTGAAGCAATCTTGCATTCTTGGGATAAATCCCACTTGGTCTTGATGCATAAATACTCTTATTAAATTGCTGAATTCAGTTTATCACTATTTTGTTGAGGATTTTTGCACCTGTAGTCGTAAGATACTTGGATCTATAGTTTTCTTGTGATATTTTCCCCTGGCTTTGATATCATTGTAACACTGGCTTCATAAAATGAATTTGAAAGTGTTCTATTTATTGGAAGCATGTAAGGAGGACTGGTGCTCATTCTTCTTTTAATATTTGATAGAATTCACCAGATTAGCTTGGTCCTGGGCTTTTCATTATTGGAAAATGTTTCATTATTTGTTATATAGGTCTGATTTTCTTTTTTTCTTTGAGACAGAGTCTCACTCTGTCACCCAGACTGGAGTGATGCAGTAAGGAATTTCAGCTCACTGCAACCTCCGCCTCCCAGGTTCAAGCAATTTACCTACCCCAGCCTCCCAAGTAGCTGGGACTACAGCGGTAAGCCACTAAGCCCAGCTAATTTTTGTATTTTTTTAGAGACAGGGTTTTACCATGTTGGCCAGGCTGGTCTCAACTTCCTCACCTCAGGTGATCTGCCCACCTGTCTCCCTAAGTGCTGGGATTACAGGTGTGAGTCACTGTGCCCAGCCTATAGGTCTGATTTTATATTGTTTTATAGATTCGCAGATTTGATTTTGGTAGTCTGTGTGCTTCTAAGTTAAGATGATTTTGAGGTTATGGATTTCCAATATTTAATCTTTAATTTTACTGCTGAGGTAAGAAGGAAACAAAAACATGATCTTCATTTTATACATAAAGGCAATACAATGGTCAAATAATTTATTTAAAGTGAAATGTCACTTTTAGTCTTGCTAGAACAAGAATTCAGATGAATAAGTCATGGAACTAAAGGGAAAAGACCTGGAAAGTTTCTTAGTCAATTCCACTGCCAAGTAGAATGTTGACATTACAACTGGCAGGAGTACCCTCTCCACCCAGGACCTACACAGCACAAGTCTATGGAAGCTGGCAGCATCCCAGTTTCCTTGTGCCTTATCACCAATCTGCACAGTCCAAGACCACTCCTTAGAGTTTACCTTTTCTTCTTCCCTTCTATATCCTCTCATTCCAATGCAACAACAAAACTACACGTATTTATAAAAATACCTCACCCTTTTCTATCGAACTCTTTGTCCAAATCCTTCTGAATCATCGTCTTCTGGGCCTTGTAGTGAGTTATAATGCCAATGTTTCGAAAAGTGACATCCTTTCTTTTGTCTTTAATTAGCTTAATTAGTTCTATCACCAGTTTTATTTCTTGAACATTTACATATGAGCTAAACAAGAGGGAAAAAGAAAACACAATGTTATCAAAACTAATAAATAGCAGGCTAATTGCTAACTTAAATTCCATCGAGTTTGTTTCCCATTAAAGGGCAGGCAGATAGGCTTCAACTTTTATTCAGCTGCCAGTGACTCAAAGAGGCTGTTATCATGACCATTAATTAATATGGTATATATGAATAGATGTGAAAATAATATGGTAAATATGAAGACATGTGAAATGCCCAGTGAAACACGAAGTTGTAGAGAGAAAAGAGCTTGAAATCAACTGACATTTAAGCACCACTTTCTTCATCTGTTAAAACAGGAATAGCAGCAGTAAGAAGAGCAGTATTAATAAGAACAAAGATGTGAATAACAGATAGCTAACAGGAGTTAGGGATTTACTATCTCCCAAACAGAGAAAATGCTTCAGATGTATGATTTCTCATCCCCCACCACTGGCTGCATATAACACATACCACACAACCGAGCAGCTGCCATCCACACAAAGTGAACGTTAACTGATGTGTCGCACCTGACCTCAGCTGAACAACACAGGGCCCCAGAGTAGGTTCATGTCCCCTTTGTTGTCCTCACCAGCCTCATATCCTGCACTCTCAACTCATCCTGAAACCACACGCTCCCTCATGACCACAGCAGATGCAAAGTGCACCAAGCCCAGGGAATGCACTGCACCTATCCCTTGATTCCTGAGGCTACCTTATTCGCCTTGCTTTACAAGTCTTAAATATCCATTATCATAACTTTTGACAACCCAGTCAGCTAGTGATCTCTTCCATCCCTGAAATCTTCATTTCCCTTGGTCCTCTTCCAGATTAAGCCTCTCTGGTCAACATTCCACTCTAACTTTCCTTCCTTATGATGCTCTGGGGCTTAACTCTCAATCATTTGCTCTCCTCCAACAGGCCCCATGAAAACCTTTAGGCCGCAGTCCCTCCAGCACTACAATCCTCTGTATGTTTCCCTACCTCTTCAATGTGTTCCCTACTTCCACCTCCGTATCTTACCTAACACCTGATTCTTGCCTGAGGACACCACCTGCTCTGCAGCCATCCCACGATGTACAAGTGTGATTTTTTTCCTCCTACTTCATGACAGAGCAGTACTTTTATCTGTGCCAACAAATGCTGCCTCTAGACCATTCCTCCCCTACTCTCTCACAAGAATCCCCAGCTCCTCTGCCACTATGCGGCACCACCACCACTCCTCTTTGCTGTCATATACAGACCACCTGAACACATCCCCTTATTCGCAACCCAATACCATCCAACCTCTGTTGCTACTTCCTTACTCCTTTTCACACCTTCATTCAGCTGAATTTATACTTTGCCTTCATAGTTCTTAACCCAACTGGAATAACTGCTTACCTAAGTGATTACCAGGTCAAGGTCTGTCGTCCCATGACATCATCATCTTGAAATGGGCACATCTGTTTCCCTCACTGCTGTGATCTCGTTAAGTATCTACTCAAGTGCTTGCTTATGACATTAGATGATATTATCCCCATTATACAGAAAAAGAAGCATCAATTTAAATGAAAATGACTGTGCCTTGACATTAGGCAGAAAGATGTGTATAAGAAATGTACTTAATATAAATATGAATGCAAATAATGTAACAATTCTGGGACCATCACAGAGGATTAAGGCAAGAGGAGAACATACTCATTATCCCGTCTTTCTGAACCATCTCCAACATCAAACACAAGGTATGGTTGAAATGGCCAGTCTGATGAACACCGAATGGTTTCTGTCTGTCTGTAAAAAGGTAGTCAACATTCAGAATAAGGTCGAGATTTAAGAAAATATTTTAGTATTACGACTATTTTTTCTGTGTGGTGAAGTGGGCTGGGACAAGTAAAGGGACAACAGGAATATTCTTTTCTAGATGTGTATCAGTGAAAGGTACAAAACAAATTCTGTTTCTTTCCTGGTGCTGGAAGAGGTATCTACGTCATTAAAATATAACAAATATGACTGGAAAGTCACTCATAGTAAGCCACAGTGTTGAGCATGGTCCCATTTTTTTCTTAAAAAATTTAAAAAGTAAAAAAAGATATGCGTGGTAAAAGGACTCAAACTTGGCCAGGCACGGTGGCTCTTGCCTGTAATCCCAGCACTTTGGGAGACCAAGGCTGGTGCAATGTTTGAGCTCAGGAGTTTGAAAGCAGCCTGGGCAACACAGTGAAACCCCATTTCTATAAAATGAAAAACACAAAAATTAGCCAGGCATGATGGTGAGTGCTACTCAGGAGGCTGAGGTGGGTGGACCAATTGAGCCTAGAAGGTTGAAGCTGCAGTAAGGCAGGATTGTGCCACTGTACTCATTCTGTCTAGGCAACAGAAAGAGAAGACAGTCTCAAAACAAAACAAAACAAAACAAAAAAAAACCCACTGAAAGTGGATATGCCAAAATGTTACCAGTGATTATTTATTTCTGGGTAGTATAAATATAGGTGACTTTTTCCCTCTTTCTTTTTTATGTGCATTTGCTGTGCTCGACATGATGGCTTTTACAACTAGAGAAAATTATTAATCCTCCATGATTTATGCTTTTTATGACAAGACGTAAGAAGACAGTAAAATGGCTATTCTTCATAAGCAGCTAAACTACGAACAAAATAAGCTCACAGGCAATAAAGGGAACTCACCTATTTGTTTTTAAGTTTCTGTTATAAACATAATTGGAAGGGAAGAGACATATGTCTGGATGCATCCTGTACTGAATAGTAAGCCGCAAAATAGGCAGCCTGCTGATCATGTTGTGTTCTACATTCTCTTCCAACAGTTTGCAGAAGCGAGCCATCATTGATTGGTCGTAGCCATACTCCTGTGCTTTCTGTGAGGGGGAGAATAAAGCAATAATTTCCAAGAATTCCTTTATATCTTTCCCACTATTATAAAAAAAATTACTGACATCTAATATGTACATGGCAACATTCAGGTAGCGTAAGATTACCAACCACAGCTTCAGAGAAAAAAGATGTTTCTGACTCTCATCCTCAAAATGTTATGAATCTTTTTTTTTGTTTTTGGAGACGGAGTCAGGCTCTGTCGTCTAGGCTGGAGTGCAGTGGCGCGATCTCAGCTCACTGCAACCTCCACCTCACAGGTTCAAGCAATTCTCATGGCTCTGTCTCCTGAATAGCTGGGATTACAGGCATTTGGCACTGCACCTGACCAAAATGCCATGAATTTTGAATAAATGTTGAGGCATTTTCTACTCACATACTGCTTATGAAAGAGATACGATCTTGTGAAAGACAACTGACGCTATTTTGATAATACAAGACATCACCCCTGTATCTTAAAAAATAATAATAATAAAGGAAGCAGAGAAATGTAACACTGATTTTAACAATTATTTCTCGTGGTATATCCTCACAGACAGACATGTTGAATGACATTGTAAACATGTGTTTTGAAGACAACATTCTTCATCCAGCCATCTAATATGTACTAAGCATCTATAATCTGGAGTGATGAGACTGCTAGAGTGAATAAGACCAAGTCTCACAGAACTTACATTCCAGTGGAGGAAACAGACTCGACTTATGTGTTGGCCATCCCTCATCTAAAATTCCAAAATACTCCGATGAGCATATCCTTTGAGCATGAACTTTAAGTATAATGTCAGCACTTGAGAAGTTTCAGATTGTGAAGCACTGTGAATTTTGAATTAGGAATGCCAAACCTGTGCTAAACTGATTTCACAAACCAAATAATGGGTTATATTCTGCAATCTGCAAGATAGTGACCTATATAACAAATGGGATAAACTGTCTTGTTATCACAGTTGTGCCTTGGTATATACTTTCCAATGACAGCAACATAGAAAGTTTCAAAAAGCACTCTATCTTAAATAACCTGGGAGTAAAAATGTCCTGAATACTTCACTAAGATGATGGAATCTCCATGAGTGATGTGAAAGATACTGGCACTGAAGACGTGCAAAGCCTGAATAAACTTGTTTCACAAACTATGAGTGGAGAAAAAGGCATTACTTCTTAACCTATTTATATGTGTGATTTTAAACAGGTTTAAGTATAAAATAATTATTAATACACATTTAACAATTTTGCCTAAATCCTCAAAAGTTTATCTGAGTTAGCTCAAAAATCTAATTTTTAATCTTTGCTTTGGGGGAACAGAAAAAGAACTTATATAAGGTAATGCATCTAACCTCCAGACAAACCATAGTCTATTCAACAAATGATACAAATTTATTAATATATATTCAGACAAGGAAGAATGTCCCTGATTTACTGATTTTTTTAAAAAAAGCCAATTCTGCACAGAATGATTTTGCCATCTTTAAAAAAAAACAAACTCACGTACATAAACACATATGCACATAAAGATATACTTGTATACAAACCATATTTTGCCATCTTTAAAAAAAACCAAACTCACGTAAACACATATGCACATAAAGATATACTTGTATACAAACCATATGCCACATTTTAATAATCGACTTACTGTTATCCCCTAGAATGCAAACACCATGAAGGCAGGGATTTTGTCTGTTTTCTTCACTGTCATAACCCCAATACCTAAACAGCGCCTGAATTATGTTGGCACTCAATATATAAATACTGAAAAAGATGAATAAACACACAAATGCCCAGCAAAATCTGTTAAAGATACTCACTTTCGTAATTATCACTAGAAATAGGCGGTCAAAAAAGGCACTTAATGGAAATGAACTTTGTAATTATTTTCTCAAAATAGTCCATTTTATTTGTACGATTAATTTAAAAACCACAAATGGATTTTTTTTTTTTTTTAATTTTTGTTGCTTTTATCAATCATTAAATTAGGCAGTAAGGCTGAGGTCCATAAACAATCCCTTTTCACTTCAATAAAATATTGCATTATTTAAAGAAATGGGATACAGAATTTGCTCTTCCTTATTTTCCATGAACAAAGTTGCCTGCAGCAGTTCCTCCCTGAACACACAGGTTTTCACTGGTGACAGGAGTGCTTCTAGGTCACACCCTACCATGATCACGTACCTGTGCTCAAATGTCATACAAGGAACTGCACTGCCATTCTGAATAATCCCAAAGTCAAAAGCCACTAACAAAACCACCTACATTCATTCCATAATTCCACAGAAATGCTTTGAAAATGATCTGTTATCTAGGATTTATGAGGCCACTGCTCAATTATTTGAATAAATAATCTATGTTATTAGCACTAATACAAATTTTATTAAATTTTATAACCTCTTCAGATTACTTCAAAACATCTGAGTCCTGATTCTGATGTGCATTTCTAGGAGACATCTTTCATTGAGATTAAAAAAAAACCAACGAAGTAGAGTAGACTACAATCTGGTTCTTCTTTTCCCACAGACAGAGCCTATAATTTAGTCTTTTTTCCCCCGTACCCTCACTTTCAGATGCTGTGAGGGGCACAGACATTTTCTTGTATTAATACTACAATAGTAAATCATAAAAATGGAAATGTACTCCAAAATTAATTTAACTTCATGCTTTCCTCAATTTGTACATTATTTAAATATAAATGAAGAGGGTGGGATTCTTCTCCTTACTTTTGAAGTTTTTCTTTTATTATTGTTTTGGTGTTTGCATGATTAAAATAAATCAGATTCAGCTCTTTAAAGATGTGCACACTGACTTTTCCAAAGCTTGGTATGCATGGCACGTCATCCATCTAGGCTGAACACACAACTTCTGCCACACATACACAGAAGCACAACTATGAACAAAGGGGCCTTTTCAGGAATTTTTTTTTTTTAACGTATTGACAATCAGCGCTTCTCTTTTCTCAGTTACTGCTTACTTTTCACTCCCAAATTAAGAGAGGCCAATCCAAGAGAGATGTTCTTCCCTCCCGAAGACAAAAATTTTAAAAAGCCCCTTCCATTTTAAAGCAATCTGAACATTAAAAATAACTTACCATAGAGATGACTGTGGGAGGGAGCTGTTTAGGATCTCCTACTAGGATAAGCTTGTTGCAGCGATGAATGAGTGGAGTAAGAGTCTCAATTTCACAAGACTGTCCAGCCTTGGCAAGATATAGAAGGGAGAGGCAGTCTTAACTATCTTTGCTATTTATCCATATAGTTTAACTGATTAAAGCTCTAACCATTCAGAAAAGTACCACACTTCTGCACGAAATATCAAAAATAAGGATTTTATCTGAAAACAAAAAACAAAACAAACAACAAAATAAACCCTCCAGGCTGGGTGCAGTGGCTCACATACATAATCCCAGCACTTCGGGACCCGCCTCAGGAGGGTAGAGCACCTGAGGTTGGGAGTTTTGAGACCAGCCTGGCCAATGTGCCGAAACCCTGTCTCTACTAAAAATTCCAAATAAATTAGCTGGGCATGGTGTCACGTGCCTGTAATCCCAGCTACTCGGGAGGCTGAGGCAGGAGAATCACTTGAACCCAGGAGGCGGAGTTTGCAGTGCACCGAGATCACATCACTGCACTACAACCTGGGTGAAAGACTCTGTCTCAGAATAAATAAATAAATAAATAAATAAACTCTCCAAATGCATGTTTTAAAAAAAATCAAATCTGTATTTTGAAGTCAGCCACCAAGGAAGCCACTACCACTTGGGAACCAGCCATAAGTTAAGAAGGCCATGTACATCCTAGATGCGTGTATTCTTTGTTCCTGCAGGGCATGGGCCTGAAAAAAATGTTTCTCCTCTAAAGTCCTAAAACTTTATTTTAAAATTTTTATTATTTTATTAATATATTAATTTTATTATTTATTTATATATCTTATTAATTTACTTTTTGAGACAGAGTCTTGATCGGTCACTCAGGGTGGAGTGCAGCCCTCCTGGGCTCAAACGATTCTCCCACCTCAGCCTCCTGAGTAGCTACTATAAGCACAAGGCATCACACCTGGCAAAATTTTGTATTTTTAGTAGAGACAAGGCTTCACCATGTTGCCCAGGTTGGTCTCAAATTCCTGGGCTCAACTGATCCACCCTCGGTCTCCCAAAATCCCAGGATTACAGGTGTGAGTCACCATGACCAGCCCCCTTTTAAAACTTTGTATCTGAGGTTCAGAAATCCCATCAGGAGCATCTGTGAGTGTGCTTCCCCGTATCTTTCTTCCTTGCATGATAGTCCTTGTATGTATGCCTCTTTGATCACAAGACTCAAATTTCTCTTAAATTCAATGATATTTTCTTCAACTATTTACTGATTTCTGCTTTTTGTCCTTTACTTCTGGTGAAAACTGGATCTTAGGTCTCCTGATCACTCAATTCTCTGCTATCTCCTGCTCCACCTCTTTTGTCATCTGACAAATAGATACCGAATAAATGTTTGCTCAAAGAGTGAACTAGGAATAAAGGATGTTAGGTGAAAATACTATGTCTCAAAACTGTTCAAAATTTATATTAAAACTACTTTAAAAGGTTATTAGAGATATTATAAGCAGGAGCGAGACAGTCACTCAGCAGAGATTTTGTTAGAAACCATCAGTCATCCTCACAACTAACCCCCAAATACTGGAAAATCCACTCACTATCGTAGGTTATTAAGAAGCATATTTCTTTCTTTCTTTTTTTTGAAATGGAGTCTCACGCTGTTGCCCTGGCTGTAGTGCAGTGGTGCTATCTCAGCTCACTCCAACCTCCACCTCCCAAGTTCAAGTGATTCTTCTGCCTCAGCCTCCCGAGTAGCTGGGACTACAGGTGTGCACCACCACGCCGGGCTAATTTTTGTATTTTTAGTAGAGGTGGGGTTTCACCATGTTGGCCAGGATATTCCTGATCTCTTGACCTCGTGATCCACCCACCCTGGCCTCCCAAAGTGCTGGGATTACAGGCGTGAGCCACTGTGCCCGGCCTAAGGAGCATATTTCTACATAAGGAAATACGTATGTAATAGGTAAAAATCAGATGCAGAAAAAAACATTTCCTCAACATCTCAGCAGCCACAATTCATCTGAGACTTACTCCTTATAGCACTAGTCAAAGTTGTATGGCTGACCATTCACTGACCTCATCAACAATGACACAGCTGAAGGGGACGCCTCCTTGCCCACGAAAAGCAGATTCAAGTAGTAAACCACCACTTGTGCTCAATGTGCAGCAGATGACATGGGACTCTAAGATGATGTTATTCTGTGTTTTCTGTGGGCGTCCTTGAACCTAAGAGAACAAAGGTTAAATCAACAGTCAGCTGTAGATCAATTCTTGACTATGACAGGCCTATTTTTACTATAAAATACTTACCATTTATTATGTGACAGAAAAATATTTAGTAAAAGTTAGGGGGGAACTCTCAAATCTAGGAAATAGCAGAAACAAGATAATCACAAACAGGAAAGAATGTGTGCTTTGCAGTTAAAGCACAGTATATTATTTAAGTACATTAAAAGTTTTTATCCAGAGTTTGATTTGGTCAAAGTAGATTACAATCCTTCCTGTAGCCAGATGTATGTAGGCAGGTATCTGAAGCAGAGATGTAATAATACTGAGTTGTGAATTATCTGAGTAAAACCAGGGTTAGAATTAAGCTTGAATGTACATTTTTCTGTTAGTTTTTAAGTATATAATATTGCTCTTTCCTTTTTGTAGTACTTTTGCTAAACTAACAAAAATGCCTATGAACCTGACAAATATTCTATTTCCACAGTAAGAAAAACAAGTTTGGTCTCCTACAATGCAATGTACTGTGATGGAGCCAGATAATGTGAATGATGCCTCACAATGCATACCATGTAGTGCTCAAATAAATCAGCATTTTCTTTTTTTTTTTTTTCAGATGGAGTCTTGCTGTTTCACCCATGCTGGAGGGCAGTGGTACAATCTTGGCTCGCTGCAACCTCTGCCTCCCAGGTTCAAGCAATTCTCCTGCCTCAGCCTCCCAAGTAGCTGGGACTATAGGCATGTGCCACCATGCCTGGCTAATTTTTTGTCTTTTAGTAGAGACGGAGTTTCACTGTGTTAGCCAGGATTGTCTCAATCTCCTGACCTCATGATCCAACCGCCACAGCCTCCCAAAGTGCTGGGATTACAGGTGTGAGACACCGTGCCTGGCCTAAATCAGCATTTTCCTCAGTGATATAGTAAGCTTCTTTATGCTACTAAGAGGCAGTAGTGATTCATCTCTGCATATATGATATTTTCAACCATGGAGTTCAAGGCATATGTGTAAGCTTTAGGAAGAGGGTGGCACTGTGGCCCTCCATGGCTCACACAGTAAAGCATTGTCAGACACCTCTCCTTAACCATCTAGTAAGACTGCTGAGCACGGGAAAACTATATCCGCAAAATAAAAAAATAAACCTGCTGAGCACAATTAATTCAATGGCCCACAGAACACATGTGATGAACAGCAAAAAAGATCTGTGAACATGGACTTCATCCTTGACTCAGGAAAGATTAATTTGAGGTTTAGTTTAAAACTTTAATCAAAAGTTTTCACATAACTTTTAGTTTAAATAAACTGCTAATGAAAATAAGCATTAAGTTCAACTGTATTTAGTCACATAGAGAAAAATTATAATACATTCAGGAGAAAAACTTCAACAGAAGTACTACTAACGTCATCAGTTGCTACTAGCCTCCTTCCCTGACCCCAATGTGGTTTGATTAAGGCTACATTCTGACAGTCAGGCTATACACCTGGCTCAGCCAAGTTTCAATTAGTCTAAATCTTATCTGCTATTTTTACACCCAAAAAATACTGGGAAAAAGCTACAAAAATATTACAGGAGTTTTATGATCTAAGACAAGTACAAAGAGTTTATGCTCCAAGCCAAGAAATGCAAAAACCAAAAATCAAAGTGCTGTACTTTCTTATGCCAATCTTGCCCATTACTCTACCTATATCCAGGTTGGAGCTCTGGAGGGCTCACAGTTGCCACACTCAACCTAAAGCTCAAACAGATGACTTTTCTTAACAGGGAAAACACCACAAAGTTATTTTCATTAACTGTTATTGGATGATAATTATCATAATTGTTTTTTCAGTGTGAGAGGAAGAGATAGAGCACCTTATAAGAAGGATTTAAAATCTTTACCTAGACCTAAAACAGAAAAAAGATAATTTATAATCACCTATTTCTTAGAAATCTTAGATGGTGGTTAAGAATTCATTGTTAGGTTAAAGAAAAAAATACGAATGTTGTTACACCAGTTTCTCCACTTCCACAGATGTCTGTCATTTTTCTGTAACTGAGAAAAGCCCATAGCTGGCCAGGCACGGTGGCTCACGCCTATAAAGCTAACACTTGGGAGGCCGAGATGGGCAGATAACTTGAGGTTGGAAGTTCCAGACCATCCTGGCTAACATGGTGAAACTCCGTTTTTATTAAAAATACAAAAAAAGAGCCGGGCGCGGTGGCTCAAGCCTGTAATCCCAGCACTTTGGGAGGCTGAGGCGGGTGGATCACGAGGTCAAAAGATCGAGACCATCCTGGTCAACATGGTGAAACCCCGTCTCTACTAAAAATACAAAAAAAAATTAGCTGGGCATGGTGGCGCGTGCCTGTAATCCCAGCTACTCAGGAGGCTGAGGCAGGAGAATTGCCTGAAACCGGGAGGCGGAGGTTGCGGTGAGCCGAGATCACGCCATTGCACTCCAGCCTGGGTAACAAGAGCAAACTCCGTCTCAAAAAAAAAAAAAAATACGAAAAAAGACAGGGTGCAGTGGCTCACACCTGTAATCCCAGCACTTTGGGAGGCGGAGGCAGGCAGATTATCTGAGGTCAGGAGTTTGATACCAGCCTGACCAACATGGAGAAACCCTGTCTCTACTAAAAATACAAAATTAGCCAGGTGTGGTGGTGCACGTCTGTAATCTTAGCTACAAGGAACGCTGAGACAGGACAATCGTTTGAACCCACAATCACTTGAACCTGGGAGGCGGAGGATGCAATGAGCCAAGATGGCACCACTGCACTCCAGCCTAGCAACAGAGCAAGACTCTTGTGTCTCAAAAACACACACACAAAAAAACAAAAATTAGCCAGGCGTGTTGGTGCACGCCTGCAATCCCAGCTACATGGGAGGCTGAGGTTGCAGTGAGCCAAGATCATGCCACTGCACCCCAGTCTGGGCGACAGAGACTGACTCCGTCCCCAAAACAAAAAATACATAAAAGCTCATGGCTTATCTGCAGTCACTCTGACAGTTTAGTTTTATATTTAAATTTCTAAAATAAAATAAAATCGAGAAAATGCTACGTGTGAACTACTTACCTCTTTAATTTTAGAAGCAAGTTCCTGCCTTTCCTTAGAAACTTCGGAAATTTTTTCATCTAATTCTTGCCTCTGGAAAAAAATTCAAAAGTCATAATTAAACTATGCATTTTTAAATGCCTTCCAATGGACTGCCTCTAATCTTAAAATGAGCCTGTATTTTCCCAATGAAAAATTTATTTACCCAGCTTATTCCCTCTTCGCAAGTACTGACACACTGTATGCTGCCGTGGAAGACTCAGCTGTGTCCTGTGCACTGCATGTGTGCTGTCTTAGCATTCCAGCCCTGAGAGCATCACTCTGCCCTTCACTTTCCAGGTGATTCATCAAATGAGGCTGTTTAATCACACACTAACCATTCCTCTGGCCACAGTGATGGGCATCTAATACAGGCCTGGCCAATCATGGCACCCATCTTTTTAAAATTAGGGATTAGACCTGCTTGCTCACCCAGGGACTAAACTAACTCCTTCTTTGGATACATGGATGCTAAGAGAAAGACCAAGTCTCTCCCTGTGGGGTTTCTAAGCTGGGATGGTAGAAACCCTGAGATGCTGACACTCACCTTCTCCTGGAGAAGAAATGGCTGACACACAGAAAAACAAACCATGGAATGGAAAAATGATACTATTAGAGCCTCTATATCTACCCATACTGAAGCTAATTCCCTTTTTGTCTAACCTAATTTGAACTGGGTTTCTTTAACTTGGAACTGAAAGATAATCAGCAAACTGAATATACCTTTAATACAAGGCAGTACAGCCTATAAACCAAATGCCTTTAATACAAGGCAGTACAGCCTATAAACCAAAAATTAGCCAGGCATGATGGCACCTGTCCCACTCAAAGAGGCTGAGGCGGGAAGAGAGCTCGTTTGAGCCCAAGAGCTTGAGGCTACAATGAACCACAATTGTATCACTGCACTCCAGCCTGGGCCACAAAGTGAGACCCTATCTCGAAAACAAACAAAAATGCAACATACCATTTGTTTTTGTAAATAATGTTTTAATAGAACACGGCCACATCCATTTGTTTATGTATCATCTATGGCTGCCTGTGCTACCAAAAGCACAGCTGAATAGCTGCAACAGAGACCAACCATACAGCTTGCAAAGCCTACAATCTTTACTAGAATAGCTTGCCCTTTGCAAAAAAGTTTTTTAAAAAATTTTAAAAAATAAATTTTAATGAAAGAAAAAATGAAAAAAAAAAAAATTAAAACCAAGAGGACCAAAAAAAAAAGGCAAAAAGAAATGTGTTAACCTGAGACACATTTTTAGTATCTTAGTACACAATTTTATACATGAATCATGCCATTCCCTAATAAACAAAGGGCATTAAATTCTCATTAATTAGGTTGGTCACAGTGGCTCACACCTGTAATCCTAGCACTTTGTATGCCAAGTTGGGCAGATCAACTTGAGGCCAGGAATTTAAGACCAGCCTGGCCAACATGGTGAAACCCCATCTCCATTAAAAATACAAAAAATTAGCCGGTGTGGTGGCACGTCCTAGTAACCCCAACTATTCAGGAGGCTGAGGCAGCAGAATTGCTTGAACCCAGGAAGTTGAGGCTACAGTGAGCCAGAATCATGCTACTGTACTCCAGCATGGGAGACAGAGCAAGACTCTGTCTCCAAAAAAAACCAAACCAAACAAAACCCAAAATTGTTAAGTAGTTTGTTTACCTGAGTTACTATTTAAGAAATGCAAAGATACCTGTATTTCCCGTCCACCTCGGCATAGAGCTCGCTGCCGGGAAAGTTCATCCAGCTGATAATCTAGAAATTCCTTTCTTCTATGCATCTCCTGAACATGAGAAGGTAAGTCTTTTTCTAATAAAAATAACAAATAAAAAATTATATTCTATTCTAATTCTAACCAACACACATATACAATACAATGAGAAGAAAAAATCAGTTGCCAAAGCCAGACTAATTCTCAAGTCTTCAAATTACCTTTAGTGTCCAAGTCATTTTCCACCAAACAAAACAGAGCAAACACTAGTATAGACCACATTCAGTACTCACTCATTCTGTGGTTTACTTGGCTGTCCAAACTGAATTTTAGAACCTCGTTATTAATAGACTTTTCTGGACCCAGTCGTACTAAGTTGATATCTCCACAGTTTCCTGTTGATAAGAATCACATTTAAGGACTAATAAGGACACTGCAGATAAATCCTGTCTCTGTACACAGTATCTGTTTCTAAGTAAATATATTAATAAATCAGAGAAGGGAGCTAATATGAACTTCCAATTAACAAGACACCAGGGACTACACCACAAACTTCTCATACGTTATTTCAGAGATTCTTCCTAACAACCCTATAAGACAAGTACTTATCACTTCTACCTAATAAAAGCTAGCAAGGCCATCCCAGCACTTTAGGAGGGCCAGGCAGGCGACCACCTGAGGTCAGGAGTTCAAGACCAGCCTGACCAATATGGTGAAATCCCGCCTCTATTAAAAATACAAAAATTAGCTGGGCATGGTGGCATGCACCACCATACAACGTACTGTTATGTTTTAAGAGCAAATGAATTTTATGTGTAGGTAATACGTATGCAATATATGGAAAAATGTGTGTGATCCCTCAGAATAAAGATGACATGTTCCAGCCTATCTTATACCTTGGTGTGGCCAAAAGAAAATAAGCAGAGGTGCTATTGGCAGGACCTAGAAACTTTCCTTATAATATGGCTAGTATGTTCCCTCTGCCCCTTCTTCATCTTTTCCTCATGCTTGCTGGAACTGGAGTAGCCATCCCGACCACAGGTGCACTAAAGCATGCAGGCCCCACATGGTGGAGCAACCAGATGGAGCCTGGGTCTCCAAGGACTCTCTAAGGCAGAGTCGTCATACCAGTGACTCTGGTACCAGTCCTGAACTGCCCATCTCTGGGCTCTTGAATAAAAAAAGAGAAGTGAACTTCTATTACATTCAAGCCACTGTATTTGGAGTCTGATAAATCAAATCTTGTTAAAAGGTACTGTTAGGTATCCTTAAGGAAAATTAAATTTGGTAGGGAAGATGAGACATATGACCTTGGCAAAGTAGTCAAATACAAAGATATAACTATACCACTCAATACAAGTGATATGAAGAGCAAGTGTTAAGGCTAAATAAAATGAAATAATTTCACATCTTCACTTTAGTGCCCTGAATCATCTGTTGTAATGCTCTTCATCATTATGTAAATTCTACTGAAAAAAGTTATCCCTCTAGTGTAATTAACATTTCTAAGCTTCGGTTTCCCCACCTACAGGGTTAACACCAAGTTCATGGGATTACTTTGAGAATTACTGACACATAACAAATACTAAGTAATTGTAAACAATCATTATTTTTACCGTTTCAATAAAACTGTGCTTACTCAAACCCTCATCTTTCACCACCACCTAATGCTCTAGGAACCTCATGAACTATCTGAGGTTCTCTTGCCCTGATTCTTCTTATTTTTTTTTAATGGCAATCTCTGCTTAAGTACCCCCTATCCCTCTACTGGCTGTGGCTAACTCCTAACTGCTTCTTCCTAACCCTCACACAACTTAATTGGGGTTCCTCTGAGGCATCTGAAACACCCCACATTTTAGCCCCACTATAGAACTTATCACTCTGTACTGACCTGTCCACTTCCTCATCAGGTTGTGTGTCTCCTTGAAGGCTTCACTGCTGAAACCTCAGCACCTGACACAGGGTAAATGTTCAATGAAATACTTACTAAATGAACTCACAATCCACAGATTCAAGTAGAAGCTATTACCAGGACTGGCTTGCTCTTTCCTTTGTCATTCAAAATTGCCCATACTTAACATTGAAAACAAAAACAAATTAAAAATCCACAAAAGTATCATACCTAAAGGATTTTTCTTGTCTTTACATTTTTCTTTGAATTCAAGAATAATTTTCTTCATGAGTTCATCAACAGCAGCATTGGAAGGTGCACACACGAGGACACGGTTTTGTTTGATTTTGGCATTGGAATTTTCGTCTGAATACCCCTTCCTCTGGTTCTACAATTTGCCACATACACATACCAAACAAACACACAAAAAATATGGGTGAGCTCTGTTACATAGCTTTACAGTTTGGCTTTACTTCCATGTATTTTTGAAAGTTCTCATAAAGTTAAAAATAAATAAAAGCATCTACATCTTACATTGATATTAAAATTACTCCAGCATAAAATTGTTATAACTGCTCTGAGCTTTACTTTATCATTCACTTAATTTAATCAATACTCAATCCAGGCCGGGCACAGTGGCTCACACCTGTAATCCTAGCACTTAGGGAGGCCAAGGCAGGTGGATCACCTGAGGTCAGGAGTTCAAGACCAGCCTGGCCAACATGGCAAAACCCTGTCTCTACTAAAAATACAAAAATTAGCTGTGAGTGGTGGCGTACAGCTGTAATCCCAGCTATTCGGGAGGCAGAGGCAGGAGAATCGCTTGAACCTGGGAGGCACAGGCTGCAGTGAGCCGAGATGGTGCCACTTCACTCCAGCTTGCATGACAGCGAGACTCCTGTCTCAAAAAAAAAAACCCGCAATCCAACCAAATTGTAGCCCAGCATTCAGAGCAGTAGATGTGACCTACAATGAAGCCTGAAGACTATCATTCTAGTCCTTACGATTTGTTTCACATAAGATATAGTCTTCTTCTTCTGTTTCTTATAACCTTCCCTCCCTCTGCTACCCCTTTCTCTGACACAGTTACAAACAACATAAATAATATACATAAAGTGAAGAGGAAAAGGCAGGTTAATACTTATTTACATGTCAGTTAACTCAAGTAAAGTAAAATGATGCATCTAGTTAACAGCATCAGTGCCTTCACCCATACCAACCTCTGTCAGTAGGCGATAGAGAAGGCCAACAATAGTTTTTGACTTTCCTGTTCCAGGTGGTCCATGAATCAGGCAGATTTTGGCAACTGATGGTGAGTGTTTCACCATAGCATATGCAGTTTCTATTGCTTTCTTTTGGTCTTCATTGAAATCTCTTAAGTAGGCAATCTATATAAAAAACACATTTATATAGATTGAAAGTGGAATATGAAAGGAAGACCATGAAAAAGACCTGTTCAAATTTCTTTTAATGTGTCAAAGCTTTGGTTATGGTCAGACAAGACACAGACACCAAAGAGACCTTTAACCTAAAAAAACACATTCACTACGGGAAAGAAAGCTTACTAATTACTAATTAGTGTCTGAGGCTTCAAGTACTTACAAATACCACAATTGCATTTTTATTTCTTATTCTTACAAAGATAATCACAGTAAATTGCATTCATTAATTTGTAACATTTCTTCTATTTACTCTGTTTTATTCCTTCTTTAGTTAATTTTTCTCCTTAGTGAAAACATTCCAAGACTATTTCCTAACACAATGTGTTACAGTGGAAAAAGCATGAATTTCAGGATCAGATCTGGGTCTAAGCTTCACTTTCACTTACAAGCTAGGTCACTGCACTCCTAACCTAAGCCTTGGACTCTGTTACTCATTAAATTTAGGATTTCTTAAAAGATGAGGATAGACTGAGATAACGCACATGAAGCCATATTATACAAATAACATTAGTTTCCTTTTGCATTTCTTTGTTAATTTCCTAGAGTGTATCCACAGCTTCAGATGACAACTTCATCCTTGCATTTCCAACAGTAACGGCCAATTATCCATCAATCATTCAAACGTAAATTTTAACACCTGTAAATTTTTAAAACCTGAGACTTCTCACCTGATGCACATTAAATAGACAGTAGGCTGCTGACCTAACATTTTAATGTTGCTCTTCCAGCACACCTTTGACTCTTAGTGTACTGCATCTTTTTCTGCGGTAAGCTGACTAACCTAATTGCATACTTCGCAATTTTAAAGTAATCACCAAACTGTGTTCATCCATGTCTTTGTTGTAGACATGTAGGAATATGTAGCAGCTAAAAAATACGATGCTTTAACATACTGACATGACACTATCTACTATCATATAATCAACACTCACAATTCTCTCAGATGTTGTAGTTAGTAAATCTTTTGTACAGAAGTCCATAGGGTTTGGATTCAGAACAGCTCTAGCCAGTTGGTTCCGACTACCCAACAGAGACATGGCTTTCAACTTTCTTTGTGTAGTCACCAGAGAACTGATTACAATACAATTCACAAATTCGTTTAAATCGGCCGGAAAGTTCTCTTGAGTCTGGATGGAAAGGTAACACTCAAATTTTCCATTACGCACTATCATCAAGAAAGAGAAAAAGTAATTTCAGTTATCACTGAAACATTATTCTGTTGCCTAGTTTAAAAGATTATACAGAATTAAATATTTTTAACATATTTTGGGATATTATTTACGTAATTTACCCAATAAATATTTATGGACTGCTTCCTGAACCCAGTAATGTTCTGTCCTCTAGAAGGTTATTTTCTAGAAAAGGGAGGCAGACAACCAAATAAGTATGTCAGGTGGTACTAACTGCTATGAAGAAAGCAGACAAAGGGAGAAAGTGATGCGGATGGAGGTGGATAAGCTGGTCCGGGAAGGTCTTCCTGATGAAACATTTGAGCAGAGACTTGAAGTAAGGGAGTATGCACTTAGCAGAGGGTAAACAGTGCTATACGCAGAATATCTGCAACTGCAAAGATTGTAAGATAGAGATGTGCCAGGAATATTTTAGAAATAAGGAGAAGGCTAATATGGCTAGCAGGAAAAACAGGGAGAGGAATGCTTGGCAACTCTGAGTAAAATGGGGCTGTATTTTATAAGGCTGTGCAGATCACAATAAGGATTCTGAATGCTATTCACGATCAGGTAGGAAGCCACAGGGCACTCTGTGTAGGGAAATAACATGCTCTATCTCACATACTAAAAGAACCACTCTTACTTACCTCAGAACAAAGAATAACTACAATGAGAGAAGTACAGAAACAAAAAGACCACTTACAAGGTTACTGCAGTAATTTAGGTAAAAGTTAATGATAGCTTGGACCAGGATGTAACAGTAGAGGTGGGAACTGGATTTTGGATATATTGCAAAGGAAAAGTCAATCAGATCTGCTGATAAATTAGAAGCGAGGTGTGAGAGAAGTAAGGATCATGGATGACTCCAAGGTTTTTGGCCTAAGTAACTGAAAGAATAGAGTCCCCAATTAACAAGATGGGAAAGAATGAAGGAAGTGCAGATGTCAGGCAGAAAATCAGGTGTTAGCTTTTGGACTAATGGGTTTAAGATGTCGAACACTTTCCAAATGGAGATACCAAGAGAGACGGTTTTGATCTATGAGTAGTTCAGGGAAGGAGACTGCCTTAGAACTATAAATTTGGCAAGAGCCAAAAGCACAGAGTAAACCATCAATCCTCATTGCAACTCTTCTAAATGCATCCTATATTCTACAGAGTTAAGCCCTGATCCCACAAATAAACATGGTACACCTGCTATAATGCAGTATAATGCCGACACACTTTATTGTGACTTTTAAGATATCATGCAAAAAAGGAGACGAAATAATAAAGTAACGTTATTCTCTTCATATAACTATGACTAAGAAAGTTACCAATGCCAAAAAGGCAGTTTGGCATAAGAAAAAGAACGTCAAACAAAAGTGGGTTTCAATTCTGGTCTTACCACTTAATACTCATGACAGCCTTGAATAGCTTACTTAACATCCCTGAGCCATGGTTTCTTGATGAGCAAGGAATCATGTCTACTACCTTTTAGGGCTCTGGGGAAGATTGTAAGTGTACATAAGACAGACAAGTCTCATTGTCTAGCATACATCAGGTATTTGTTAAATTTAGGCTAACATTTTTGTTATGATATTACCTAGGGAGAGACATATAATGGATGGAAGTGACGTAAGCAGATTCTTCAAGCTGCCTTACAGCGAGTTTTATGTTTGGTCATCTCATTAGTGATTGGCCACAAAACCAAGGATGAAATGCAATTTAAGAAACAACAGATGGTTTGCAAATGGTCCACTTTACAGCAAACACAATGACAGATAAATGTAACAAAAGGATAGAACATTACAAAAATAAATACGGGATCTTTTCCAGGGAAGTCTAGAAAACCTAGAAAAGAGACTGAATGGCAAGTAATCATGTAGCAAAAACATGCTTGGTAATGTGTATCAAATATACTTGATATACACAATTAAGAAGGAGATTAGGAGACGAGCTTGTATCTGACATTTTCTTGTCTGTGCCTCATTATTTACTTACTGACTGAAGTGCGGCGGAATTTATGAACATAACCACAATGATATTCACGGACATCTTGCACGTCATTTCCCTCTGTATCTTTCTTCTCTTTGCTTATTCTCTCAGTAACTAAAAACACCAAATCGTTTTCCTTTGGATAAAGTTGGTTAACCAGTTCACATTCTTCCAGATAAACTATGAAACAACGAGAAATCAGAATTTATCTAACTCTAACAGAATTATTTTAAATAAGATTAACTTAAATCAAATCCTTGTATTAAGTTAAAAAATACACAGCACTAGTGGACTCTGCATATACTTTAAAATATCAATTATATAATATAAAGTTTTCTTTAAAACTGCTATAAGGCCAAAGTAGATAAAATCATAATATTGAAAAGTAGCAAATAAATTTTCTTTCCTTTAGGTTTATTCTGGTTTTTAACTGAGATTCTCTCATTTGTTTCCAACTTTCAAAACCCCTAAAGAAAATTCAGAAACAGATCCAAGCGGTTATACACTACATAATGATGTTTTGGCCAGACCAGATATACAATAGTGGTCCCACAAAATTATATTTTTACTGTATCATTTCTATGTTTAAAGACACAAATACTTCCTCATGTTACAATTATCTATAGTATTCAGCACGGTAACATGCTGTACACGTTGGTAACCTAGGTGTGTGGTAAGCTATATCACCTAGGTTGTTATAAGTAAGTACACTCCTACTTCTTAGAATATCGACAGGATAATGAAATTGCCTGACACATTTCTGGGAACATATTCCCATCAAGTGACACATGACTGTACATACAAGAATTCTGAAACTTCTATGCATTTGAAACAAGTAGGAAAAGGTGGTTGTAAACTAAAGTGGGACTAGGAAAACAGAGAAAGCACTGGAATAAAGTTCAGTACCAACTGCTAAATCTAACCCTATACTCTGAAAAATACAAACCACTGCTGAGAGAAACTGAAGACAGCCTAAATAAATGAAGAAATGTACTAAGTTCAAGGCCCAAGGCTCAATACTGTTAAATGTCAGGTCTCCCCAAATCAATCTTTAGAGTCAAAGCAATCCTAGTAAAAATACCAGCGGGCATGTTTATAAATGTTGACAAGCTGATTCTAAAACTGATGACAATACAAAGAGACTTCTTTTTACAAAGAACAAAACTGGAAGGCTTAAACTATCCAATTTCAGTATTTTTTATAAAGCAACAATAAGAGACTGTGGTACTGGTGTAAGGCAGCTACACAGATAAAGAAAACAGAATGCAGTGTCTAAAAACACACTTGCAATCAAGGTCAACTGATATTCTGATTAATGTGCCAAGTTACTGAATGACAATGAGAAAACTACGTTTTTAAAGAAGGATCACTAAATCTGAGCACCTATTTTTACAGTGTTTTTATTTTTTTTAGAGACTGGGTCTTGTTCTATCTCCCAGACTGGAGTGCAGTGGCATGATCACAGCTCACTGCAGCCTGGAACACCTGGGCTCAAGCAATCCTCCTTCCTCAGCCTCTCATGTCACTGTGACTACAGGTGTGTGTAGTCCATGCTCAACTATTTTTTTTACTTTTCTGTAGAGACAGGGTCTTGCTATGTTGCCAGACTGCTTTCAAACTCCTGGCCTCAAGTGATCCTCCTGTTTGGGCTCCTAAAGTGCTGAGATTACAAGAATGAAACACTGCACCTGACTTCTGCATTTACAAAAGCAAAACACCCCTTAATTCTTACATATGTCACATATAAAAATAAAATTGAAATGGTCATCAACATAAACACAAAAATTAAACTATAAAATTTAAAAAAAAGGAGGAGAACTTTGGGAGGCTGAGGCAGGCGGATCACGAGGTCAAGAGATCAAGACCATCCTTGCCAACATAGTGAAACCTTGTCTCTACTAAAATATAAAAATTAGCTGCGCGTGGTGCACGTCTGTAGTCCCAGCTACTCAGGAGGCTGAGGCAGGAGAATTGCTTGAACCCAGGAAGCAGAGGTTGCAGTGAGCTGAGATCGCACCACTGCACTCCAGCCTAGCGCCTGTTGACATAGCGAGACTCTGTCTCAAAAAAAAGAAAAGAAAAAACGAGGAGGAGAAAATTGTGACCGTGGGTTAGGTAAATGTTTCTTAGGATACAAAACGCATGAACTACAAAAGAAAAACACTGATAAACTGGATGCCATCAAAATTAAAACTTTTGCTCTTTGAAAGATACTGTTAGGAAAATTAAAAGGCAGTCCACTGATTAAAAGTAAATATTTTCAATATATAAAGCTGATAAATAACTTGTCTCCAGAATACAAGAAGAACTGAAAAATGAGAAGTAAAAAGAAGAAGACAAACAATCCAACTAAAAATGGAGGAAAGATACACGAAGGGGATATGTACATTGCCAGTAAATCTCTAAAAATATGCTCAACATTGTTAGCCATTCTACAAATGTAAATTAAAGCCACAATGACATACTATACACACCCGTTTGAATCATCAAAATTACAAACACCAATGCTGGGCACAGTAGCTTACACCTGTAATATCAGCACTTTGGGAAGCCAAGGTAGAAGGACTGTTTTGAGACCAGCCTGAGCAATATGATAAAACCTCGTCTATAAAACAACAACAACAACAAAAAAAAACACCAACAAAACAAAAAGCGGACAAGAAAATGGACCAAGTGGAATGCTCATACAATGCTGGTAGGAATATAAAATGGTATACTTCTAGAAAGTTTAGCAGAGCTTCTTATAAAGTTAAACATGACAATTCCATTCCTATTTACCCATGAGACTATAGAACATATGTCCATTCGGATTTGTACATTAATGTTCAATAGCCACTTCATTCATTAATAGCCAAAACTGGATACAACTGAAAGATGAAACAGTAAATAGATAAGTAAGCTTAAAAAAAGAACTATGAGTGCATGGATTGGGTATACTTGTGTTTCAGTCCATTGCAGTCAGCTTCTTCTAACTGGCTCTGGGGCTGTCTGTTATGACAGGATGTTCCAAGTTCATCATATATATTGTTTCTATTCCATATGTAAACTTAGTTTTCTAAGGAGCCTTGCTGTATTTTAGTTGAAAATGGTATTTCAAGACCAATCTGGGCATGCTATATGCTGTTAGCGGGTAATACACCTAAACAAGGATTAGATTGTAAGTAAAAGATAACCATGTAAGTAAAAGATAACCATGCATATCCAAATAAAAGAAAACTTACTTAGTTCTGTTAATATAAAAATAAATAGACATTAAGGTAGAAAGCATTATTATTACTATTTTTTTTTTGACTCCCAAATCTCTTTTATTGCGGGGAATGGGCCTCTTAGGGGTCCTCACTGCACTGCTTGTTCATTGGCACTGCTTCCCGAGTCCTGGGGCTTCATCATATCAGGCAGCTCGGGCAGGCTGGAGAACGGCTTGATGCACAGGGCCTCAAAGGTGTCATCTGCCCAGAAGGCCAGCCCCATGGTGGCTGGGGCCTGTGGCCGTGCTGTTTGGTGAAGCCACACTTGCCCAGTGTCTTGCCATCATCCAAGAGTTTGTCATCCTTGTACAGCTGCTGCTCGTCAGGCGGGTGTTTGAGGATGCTCTCAATAATGTGCTTCAGCTCGAACACTGTGCTGGACTCCCTGGCATCCCTAAAGATGGTGGTCTTGTGGTGCCAGATCATGAGGAACACGTCTATTGCGGTGGCTGCCTCTCCCCTCGACATACCAGCGTGGCTGCCCTCCACCCCATTCTATTATTATTATTATTATTATTATTATTTTTTTTTTTTTTTTTTTGAGACGGAGTTTCGCTCTTGTTAACCCAGGCTGGAGTGCAATGGCACGATCTCGGCTCACCGCAACCTCCGCCTCCTGGGTTCAGGCAATTCTCCTGCCTCAGCCTCCTGAGTAGCTGGGATTACAGGCACACGCCACCATGCCCAGCTAATTTTTTGTATTTTTAGTAGAGACAGGGTTTCACCATGTTGACCAGGCTGGTCTCGATCTCTTGACCTCGTGATCCACCCGCCTCGGCCTCCCAAAGTGCTGGGATTACAGGCTTGAGCCACCGCGCCCGGCCCTATTATTATTTTTGATACAGAGTCTTGCTCTGTTACCCAGGCTGGAGCACAGTGGCCGATCTCTGCTCACTGCAACCTTTATTTTGCCTCCTGACTTTAGGCGATTCTCCTGCCCCAGCTCCCAGAGTAGCTAGGATTATAGACGCCTGCTACCACACCCAGCCAATTTTTGTATTTTTAGTAGAGACGGGGTTTCGCCATGTTGGCCAGGCTGGTTTCAAACTCCTGCCCTGGCCTCCCAAAGTGCTGGGATTACAGGCATGAGCCACCATGCCAGGCCCAGAAAGCTTTACTTGAGGTAAAAAGGGAATATTTTGGTTTAACAGAAGATAACGACAATTCTCAATGCATACACATAATAAAATAGATAAAGAGTTAGGCACAGTGGCCAGTGCCTCTGTGGTCCCAGCTATGCATTACGCTGAAGCGAGATCACTTGAACCCAGGAGTTTGAGGCTGTAGTATGTATGATCACACATGTGAATAGTCACTGCACTCCAGCCTAAGCAACATAACAAGACCCTGTCTCTAAATAAATAAATAAATACATGGAACTGATAGCGCTAGAGTATACTTTTTACATATATATGACTTTTGAACCATTAAATCAGCAAAGATAAATTTTAAAAAGCAACCCTTAAGAATACAGTTGAGGTCGGGCACGGTGGCTCACCCCTGTAATCCCAGCACCTTTGTGAGGCCAAGGTGGGCGGATCACAAGGTCAAGAGATCGAGACCATCCTGGCCAACACAGTGAAACCCCATCTCTACTAAAAATACAAAACTATTAGCTGGGCATGGTGGCACGCGCCTGTGGTCCCAGCTACTTGGGAGGCTGAGGTAGAAGAATCGCTTGAACCCAGGAGGCGGAGGTTGCAGTGAGCTGAGATTGCGCAACTGCACTCCAGCCTGGAGACAGAGCAAGACTCCGTCTCAAAAAAAAAAAAAAAAAACAGTGATACAAGTACTTTTAGAAATAGTAGCCTTGGCTGGGCGCGGTGGCTCATACCTGTAATCTCAGCACTTTGGGAGGCTGAGGTGGGTGGATCACCTGAGATCAGGGGTCTGAGACCAGCCTGGCCAACATGGTGAAACTCCATGTCTACT